CAATCATGTTGTAACTAAGATATCCGCTGGAAAATACTGGAAAATATATTTTTTCCGACCGTTTAATGAGTTATTACCTATTACAGACACCGCTAATGGCTAACAGGGCTAACAGCTAACGGTTAGCCCAGTTAAACGTGCACACAGAAATAGTAATGTTTGTTCAATCATTGTGTTTATAGACTTTACAAACATCGGATTAGTCCAAACGGTGATACAGTGATGTGAAAAATGTGATATATAGGCTATATATATATATATATATATATATATAGCTAAAAGCTCTGCTGGTTTTCTACCCGTAAGTATTTGTAAACAACAAGGCGATTCCCTCTAACATTATAGTCCGGCCGGACGGATGAGTCATGGCCTTGTAAAAGATTATGTTTGTTTCTTTTAGTTGGCGAGAATGTGTCGCCGCAAACGCGACAAACATCCACTGAACTTGCATTTTCTGCGACCACAGCTGAGCCATTTTGTACCGCTACACGTGTTTCTAGTGGGACTATGTTTACAAGCACAAGAGTTCAGTGAGCCACCGAAGGACCGCCCTGCGGATTTACTATTGGTTCTGCAACATAGGGAGTTTTTTTAAACTCTGAAATTGTATCCGGCCATCTAAACACAAAATCAGGGAGAAAGTCATCAGTCTTTAGTTAAGCAAAGCGTCTAAAGACTGACTTGTGAGTCCAGCATGTAGCTAACTGCAAGGAGCAGCGTCAGAGAAACACTGATTTTTTTTTCAATATGAAACGTCTTTATTCAGTGTGTTTACTGGTGTAAATCAGCTGATCTGTTGTTGTTTTTTTATTTCATCTGGTTGCAATCTGCAGTTCACACTGATAGACGCTACTGAATCCCCCGACACACTGTTCCTTTAATCTCCCCGTCTGTAGTTTCGACCATCTGAGGACAAGCTGAAGTTTGACATCGTTGAAACATTTGGAGGAAAAATAAAAAAACATTCTGCTGTTTTTTGGATCTTTGATCCAAAGATTCTCATTCCATAAATGCTTGTTGAGTATTTTTAGCTTTAATGGACCCTGATGGAAAAAACTCAGTGTTTGGCGAACGTCACACGATCACCTGCTCACTGCTCACTGCTCACTCAGGACTGTTTCGGGTCTGCATGTTTGGTTTTGTGTTGTTTCTTCAGAACATCAGTTTCTGTCACTAAAAAAAGACGTCTTTGCCTTTTTCACTTCTCAGGGGCGTCTCTCCTTGTAATCAGGGTTAAAAATGTCACTTTGAGTTAATGACAAAAATATTCAACCTCAGTAACAGCCAGCAACACTGATTGTAGAGCTCAATCAACGACCTGAAATAATCTCCAAATTTTAAAGAAACATTTTATTTATGTTGAAACTATTTTAAGCTACTGACCTTCAAATCCCTGCTGAACACAGTCGTCCTGTTGAATCAGACGTTTTCAGATTGTCAGTAACTTCCTTTGAAACTAAACTCATCCAGTCGATTCTGAACCCTCCAAAATATTTATTTATTCAATTTGTTTTTTCTATTTTTTTTTTTTTTCTATTTTTTTCTATTTGATTGAACTTGTTTATCTGAAGCTGCAGGAGGACACAGTAGGACAGCCGTCTGTCCTCCTCGTTCCTCCTGCATCTGTCTTTTCAATTATCTGCTCTTCAAATTAAAAGTCTTTTTGCTAGCTCTCCTTGACCGGTTTCACCGTTTGCCTCCATTTAAGGAAGAAATAAATCATCTCGTCAAGTTTTTTAAATTATATTGATTTAATTTTACCTTGAGGACCTCTCTTCACCTCCTGTGCTTTGACTCTGCTCCTCTGTCATAAAACTGAATTTATTTTGGGAGCGTTTCTGCCAGGGACACAAAGTTTTCTTTTTATTGATGTTATATAATCCTGTTCTCTCTGTGAGAATGTTGTGTTTCAGAGTGGTGGTCAGCTCCTCTGTTGTACTCACATGTTCTCGTGTTAGTCCATCTCTGATATTGTCTGACTTCCTGTCTGTGTCTCTCAGCTCTGAGCCCATTGGTTCCAACTGAAGATGTGAATCTTTACAAAGATATAGTTTCATCAGTTGGTGTTTAACAAACAGGGAAAATGTGACTTTTTGGGGACTATTTTCAGTGGCGGGTTAATCCACATTTGCTGCACCAGTGAGTGTCAGTGTCAGCAGGACGGTGTGTGAAATAAACTGAAGTGTGTGTGTTCCTGGTGATGAAGGAACATGTCAGTGACACAGTGTGGCTCACTTTAAAGGAGGAACTTGCATGCACGGACGCAGCTTTTCTCACTGCAGGTGGAAGCTTGTTTCATAATAAGCTCAAAGGGCGTGGCGCTACAGGCCCCCATCACTTAAAGGGAAACGTGGGAAAAGAAGCTCAATATCACAGATGATATCTGAGATGGTGTTTGTAAAAGAATAAAATTATTCAAGTTAAGTACTCCACCCCCATTTTGTAGCAAAAACGCCTAAAATGACATACCCAGATTAAAATGACTGTAGCTTCTGAACTGCTCTGACTACATGCATGCATGAAGTCTTGCCAGAAAGAAAACTCTCTGAAGTTTCTTGTGAAAGTGTCAGAAACACTCTAGGTGATACAGAGACAGAGTAATGGACCTCTGAAGTCAGTAAAAAATTGAAGATTTTGCCTAAAATAAAAAAATGTTTCAGGATGAATAACTGTCTGTGGCTTCATCTGAGCAGGTAAATGACACTGTGGGGCTGTAGGCACACTATCAATGAACATTTGTTTCAAATTTGAAGAAGACTGATCAAAGTATGACCATTCTACAGTGTTTTTTCCATGAAAAGATCCAGGCGGAGCTCCAAATGACAAGTCGGTCACTCGGCTTCAAAACAGTACTATCAGTGATCAAACAACACTCAGCCAGCTTCAAACATTGTACCTTATTGAAATCAGGTGTGATTGTGATAGCTGATGTTGTTTATGACACAGAAACACCATAAAATATCACCAAATAAAGCCATATGAAACGTGAAAGTTATGATCCCACTTTCTAGACAGTATATCTCAGCCAAAAATAGTGGTAGGAGTGAGACTCTTACCTTTTATAAAAAAGCTAAGTCCTCGCTAACAGCTCCATATAAGATCACGAGCAATCCTTTAACTTTTCCCGTCGAAAAATGGCATGACATGACTTGTCACCACTCATCGCGATTTTGGACTTTGTGTGTTTAGGCTGCTCTGGTGCAAAATACATAATTAATAAAAGAAAAACGATGTTATTTCTGAAAAGTCGAGAGCTTCCTGAATCAGGCAATACCAAACATCACATGGTTTGATGACGTAGTGCGCCTGGGAGATACCATTTAACAGAGGAGGGGGGGAGCGAGGACGTCGGCGTCCTGGCGGAGTTAGAGAGGTTAAGATATTTCACAGAGCTCGTGTGTCTCCTTCCCAACGCCATGTTTAAAGCTGACTTCTTCCCTCGAGTGCAAAATAGAGACGCCTAGTTTTACCTGCTGTCTGTGGTCTCACGCAGAAGTTTTGTGATGTGACAGGACAGGAAATTAATGAAATCTTAGCCACTTATCAAAGACAGGCGTTGACAAACTAACTACTAACAAAAGGGCCTTTTTGACCAAAACAGTTAAAAAGAAAATCTGTCTGGAGCCACAGAACATATTTGACCCTCATGTGAAGGTAATGCAGACTATTAGGTCAAAATGAGCTTCATTAATATGTTTCACCACAAGGTGGCGACTCTGCAGTGAGCTCCTTGTGAGTATTGGGTACGTAAACTTTGCAGCGCTGGCGGTAAAAGCAAACAAACCCATCCACGCCCTGTATTTTTTGGATTTGGAATCACGGCTCACCTCGTTAGGGAGACTCAAGACTCGCTGCTGAGATTTGGTCAAATTTAGAGGAAAAGGTGTTCGTAAGAAGTTCTTAAGGTTTACAAAGGTGAGAAATGAATGTTAAAATGTTAAAAAAAATAAAAAGAAACAGGGAGCCACTGGAGAGGTGCCAAAGAGCCGCATGTGGCTCTGGAGCCCATAAAAATTGATGAACATATTTAAAAAGAAAAATGTGTGTATACATTCAGTGTGTAACTGATTTGGTTTAAAGACACAGTGACTGATGCAGAGTTTTCCCTCCATGATGTAAATCTGTGCAGCCTCCTCTGTCAGCCTTTTATCAGGCAGGAAAATCTGTGTTTAAATGCAAATGAGTCGCTGCGCTTTGTTCCCGCTTACTTCAGTCTCTCCTTTGTGCTCCACCTTTATCACAACACGTTCATCAGGACGGGCTCAGTTTGGTTTGGCTGAGCGACGTCAGAGGAGCGAGGTTAATATGTCAGCTGTTTGTCTGATGCAGCCGAACACACAGTCTCACTCCGCCTGTTTGAACAGTTTCTCCTCACAGAGTTTGGCAGTACCAGAAGTACTCAGAGCTTTAACTTCAGTAGAAGCAGTAACACCATGGTCTAAAAATACTACACTGCAAGTGAAAGTCCTGAACTGAAAATGTAACTGAAGTGAAGGTGCAGAAGTATTATCTGCTAAATGTACTTTAAGTGATATGGATGTAGATACGTTTTGTTGCAGTGCTGAGCTTTTGTGTCGCACTCCAGTCTGCTTCTCCAAACTGGAGGCTGCTGACTGACATCAGCTGTTTGTAGATAAACACCTTGTACAACCCCACTTTAAAAAAATGAACCATCCCTTTAAGGACTCAGCTTTGAGAGGTTCAAATCAAAGTAAACAAGTGCAACAACTGACCCCGCTCTCCCCTACTGTACTTGACTGAAAGTACTTAGTTACTTTCCACCACTGTGTTTAAATGAGACCAGACTTCTTTAGGTTTTCCTAATTTAATAGGAAAAAAAAGTTCTGACCTGAGGTTAAAGACGTTTGTCTCACTGCTTTTATTTTGAAATTCCGGCCCTTCATTGTTTTTACAACTTGACCGGAAGTGCATTGTTTCATCTGTTCCAGCTTGACTCCGCTTCGCCTCCGAGCCTCAAACTCTCCGCAGCTTCTCTCTGAGTGAAGCATCTTCACACCGCCGCCGCCGCCGGGGAGTCCGGATCAGTGAAGCGAACCCACCGGACCGGAGAGCCGCGCTCTGCCTCTCTGTCTCTGTCCGTCTCCAAACTTTGGAGACTTTTACGCGTCGGCCGGGCGCATTTTGGATTGTTCTCATTTGGAGTCTCAAAAGTTTCTGCGCGAGAAAAAAAACTTCAAACTCCCCAAAAAACTTCCCTCGGACTGAGGAGGGAGAATGATTCTGCAGGAGGACCAGCGGCCGCTCCAGTGAACACATGTGAGTCCTAATATTTATCCTTTATATTTCTTTGTCACGGTGGTGATGGTGGTGTCTCCATCAGAACCAAGTGAACATCTTCATGAGGATGTTTGGTGCGTCTTTGCTCCAGCAGCAGATTTTATTCTTAATTTAATAAAATTAAAATGCGCAAAAGCAACAAGATGATAAAAGCGTTTAGTGTCTGCAGTTTTCTTTCTCTGAGAATCCTGTGGGATGTTCCTCCTCCTCCTGCTGCTGCTCCTCAAACACTGCGCACATCTTCAGTGTTTGTTTCCAAGTTGATCCAAAGTAACGCGCAGCAGCTCGACGATCTGTTTCAGACATTTAACGCACAAATTAATTCATTAAAACTCTGAATTTAACTCTGAGCTTTTACACTTAAATTTAAAAAAAAAAGTTTGTTTTTTGAAACTTTTCTGCTGAAGCCGCGTTTTCTCCCCTCGTTTTCTCCCCTCGTTTTCTCCCCTCGTTTTCTCCCAGTGCTCCCAGCTCTCCCAGTGCTCCCAGGACGCGTTAATTGCAGAGTAAAAGTTGTGACTTTGTGCTTGAGGTGAACTTGTAGTTTAATTGGAGGGAGAGAGGAAAGAGAAGCAGAGATTCGTGTTCAGCGTCTTTTCTTTGTGACCTGAGAGCTGAACTCTGCCGGAGAAGGAGCAGAGGAGCTGTTTCCATGATGCTATTGGCTGCAGCCTATAGCTGCTGCACATGTTTACAATCTGTGTCAGTGACATCACTGCGCTCTCGCTGCTCCTTCATATATCACTCACACAGCTCTGCTGCACAGATAACATCACAGATATCAGATAATCACAAACTGAGCATTTACAGTTCAGTGTTGGCTGCTGGTTGCATCACTTTCACACTAAGTTACTGTGTCATAATTACAGCTGGTTACTGTGATCACAGTGACTCAGCAGAGTACTTCTGTAAATTACTGTATTTAACTGTAACTTCAGTTTATGTACATTTGATCCTGTGATTTATCAGTATGCTCCTGTAACATTACTAGATTTAACAGGGTGGGGAAAATTGGTACAGCGCAGTATCCCAGTATTTTTATGTGGTAATATCCACCTCATCCTCACTGCGACCTCGTCACATGCCCACGTTTGGTCATGGACTTTCCACGTCCACAGCCTGCTGGAATAATGAAATCCATTTCTTTTTCAGTCTACCAGAAACATTTTGCTGCAAAAAAAAAAAAAAGACGTGAAGTGAGATGAACAGACTGAAAACGTTATTTTATTCAGTACACTTTTTATGTGGGCAAAGTTTTCCTTTGGGGGACATAATTTGTGGCTGAAAAGAGGTAATGAATCACAACATGTTTTATCACAGTACTGAATGATATGAATCAAATGTAGAGTCACAGACTGCAGAGGGGAGTGATCCTTTAATAAAATCAGTATGTGAACATTTAAGGAACATTTAAGGAACATTTCGGAGAGATGAAGATACCTGTCGGGGAGTTATCGTGTTGAACAGCTCATTAGAAGACGATGGAAGTGTCCTCTACAGGGACGCCGGACTTTATCAAAGGCAGCGTTGTTGAAGGAGGACTCCATCTCTGCCAGCTGTTACACAACCTGAGAGGTGATACGCCCACTAAACATGTTGTGGTCCCAGAAGGTGGACGACTGAACAAGATGTCTTTAAAAGGAGACGCGTGGTGACGTCAAATAACATCCTGCTGACAGGAAGTGTGCGTGTGTGTGTGTGTGTGTGTGTGTGTGTGTGTGTGTGTGTGAGAGGGGGGTATCCCTGATACCTGAGGACAGTTGACAGGTGATAACATGGAATATATGGAAACTTTCTGAGAGTCAGAGGAATGTGATTTAATTAAAGTGAAGGGAGAGATCTGATCTCCACCTGCAGGTTGAGTTTGATCCTGATGACATTATTCTGAGGAGGAGGAGGAGGAGGCATTCCCCTGATTGCCCCTGCAGTCAGTGAAAACATGCAGCAGGATGGAGAAACATAAAACTGCATGAGGTGAAATTATTGTTTTAAAATCCACCCTGTTTTTTGGCTGAAGCTCAAAGTAGAGCTGAAACAGAGACGAGCACGTTAACGTGTTGATGCAGTCATGAGTCTGCAGGGATTAAATCCACTAACAAACACATGTTGGGTTCACAGGAAGGTGGATGGAGGGGTGGAGGTCCTGGGACAAAGGTTCACCTCTGGCATGTTTAGGCTGCACAGACTCTTTGGTTTGAAAGAGAGACGAAGGTTTTGGCAGCTCAGTCGCCAGAAAGAGGTTGATGTGGTACGTTTCTGTAAACCATGAGTCTGTTACATTTGTACTCTTCATATGAGTCATATTAGCGTTTATAAAGTGACGTGGTATATGAGCTGACCTTTATCAGGAGGTGGAGGAGATGGTGTTACACCCAGGTGAGATACCTGCCAGGATTGTGCCATAAAAAGGTTTGTTTTTATGCCTCCGTGCCGGTGATAGCCGAGGACAGAGGCAATATGTTTTCAGGTTGTCTGTCCATCCATCCCATCCTTGTGAGCATGACATCTCAAGAATGTCTCAAGGGAATTTCTTCAAATTTGGCACAAACGTCCATTTCGACTTGAGGATGAAGTGATTAGATTTTGGTGGTCATAGGTCAAAAGTCAAGGTCGCTGTGACCTCATCTGTCTCATTCTTGTGAGCGTGATTTTTCAAAAATAACTTAAGATTCTTCAAATTTGGCACAAACGTTTGCTCGGCCTCAGTGATGAACTGAATGGATTTCAGTAGTCAAAGGTCAAGGTCAGTGTGACCTTGTATCCCTCTTATTCTTGTGAACTTGATATGTCGAGAATGCCTTGAGAGAATTTTTCTAAATTTGGCACAAATGTTCAGCGATGAACTGAATAGATTTTGGTGGTCAAAGTTCAAAGGTCACTGTGACCTTGCCTCCATCTCAATCTTGTGAATGTGATCTCTCAAGAACATCTTGAGGGGATCTTTTCAAATTTGGCACAAACATCAACTTTGAGTCACACACATTCTCACTCCGACCTCGTCACATTGACGTTTTGGTCATACGATGTGCAAGGTACTCTGGGTGAGTTGGTTGTTGTCGTTCCCTTATTTCAAAATACATTTCTGTTTTCACAGGAAATTTAATGTTTGCATACAGTCTCTTTCAAAATAAAAGCACTAGATGGGTACATCAATAAACACGTGGTTGGGTTCAGGAAAAAAAAAACAATCTTACGGGACACGAACACCGCTCTCTTGGGTGAAAGTCGGTGTTTGTTGGACCCATCCACCACCCCTCCCATCCGCCCGCCCCATTCGGACTTTTACCGCCTTGACATTTGTCCTTGTCCCGCCACACCCCTGACACCGCCGAGCGCCATTAAACTATAACGGCAACCACTGCGTATCATGCCGATGTTAAAGGACATCTTTTTCATTGGTTTCTGACGTCACATGTCACTGCCCAAGCACCGGATTTTGACGACTTTGAAGTGAGACCAGGCTCGTGAGTCAAGGATACATTGATTAGAATTTGGTGGTCGAAGGTCAAAGGTCACTGTGACCTCAAAATCAGGTTTTTGGCCATGCCTGAAGAATTAATAGATACTGAATTCGTGACTCTAATCTTGAAACTGTGCTGATTGTATAGATCTTCAGTGTGTGAAGCATCCATGTTTTCACTGACGTGGATGGAGACTGTCAGAGACACTGGACTGGTGGGCGGAGTCACACAACCACAGGGCGGTGATTCTAGTCCTAAGTTGCTGACACAGGAGGAGCTCACGCCACTGTTTACACAACGTTATTGTTCATCGGTGTGGACGCTCAGGTCTTTATCGTTCTTGGTGCGGACTTCTATTAAATTCTTCCAAACTGTATTTCGAGCACAGACGCACCCAAACATGCTGCTGCTTAGCTTTCATTATTCTGTCCCCATGTTGTGAGGGGGTGGAGGGGAGCAGGTTTATGTAAATACACTCACATTGTCATTCACACAGATTTACAGCCACATGCTTGACAGGAAGTTGGCTTCAGATTTGAAACCAGGGGGCTCAGTGTGGAGCTCAGACCTCCGCCAACGCTTCAGAGACGAGGGCAGAGTCCCATCACTTCTTTCTCCACCTCCACATCTGATTAGAGAGCAGCAGTTGACAGTGAGGCAGACTAATTACACCAACGCAGTGTAATCCATATGGATGACAAATCACAGACTCTGATCGTAATCTAAATTAAATAACTTCTGTTTAACTTCCGAGAGACGTTTCTAAGAATCAAAGAGATCAAAAACACGTCAGAACTGAAGCAGCAGTGGAAGGAGACAAGCAGGAGGCAGCGTGAAGGGCGCGAGGAACAGAACTGTTGTAACGACTCTGTCAAAGCTCTTTTTCTTGATTTAAAGGGGAATGTCAGAGTTTTTTGTTCTGGAGCTCTCAGCAGTGTGATGGTGTGATTGTGTGATCCAGGACTTGTGGGCCACAAAATGTCTGACTCGAGGCGGCTGCCGTCCAGCCCTGCAGACACATGAATCGCTCTCTTTATGTGGTCGTGTCCGCGGCCTTGTTCGCTGACCTCGCTCCGCTTGTCATTCACTCCCATTTCCATACTGCAGGCGGAGGCGGGAGGAGGGGAAACAAGGAAACAAGACGCACGAGTTGACAAAGAGGCGAGTTTTCTTTAATGTCAGGAGCTGCATGAATTTGCAGCACTGGACGCGACGGAGCTGGACGATGAAATTAAATCGAGTCCTGTTCTCTCTGCTTTCCATATTTATGATGCGCTCGCTCAGAGTTCCCTTCAAATGTAAAGAGAGTAAAACTAGATTTAATCAAAAGCTCAGGGAGGCTCAAACTTCCCTCCTCAGTCCTCGTCTGCTTTTACTTTCCTCACCTTGTCCTGTTTTAATGTCAGTCTGACATGAGCTGAATAATTCATCAGTTTGATGAGTGAACGTACAGCTGACACTTTTTCACTCACACTCGGCTCCTCTGTTGCTCCGCAGACAAACACTGACAACTTCAAA